CCGAATTAGCCCTGTGAACGGAAGGGGGGGACGGGGGTAAGAGGTAAGGGGAGGGGGTATATCGAAAGGCCTTACATAAATGTTCCATTGGATACCCGAATAACCACCAGTCATAGAAATGTTAACCAAGTATAAGGGGCGTATAAGATGGTAGAGGAAATAATGTTCCGGACCATGATGCAAAATTCTCATCAGTACACATCTTTAAAGCGTCTGTGTAAAGTATCATTAAAATGTACAGAATTGAATTTATTTTGTGAGTACTTCTAGACTGTAAACAATGGTTGCTATGGGTGCTGTTATGTTGAAATATAGCTACCAGTGTGCAGATTTCTTAATTTAAACGTAGATCAAGGAGTAATTAGAGGAAAATCGTTTCAAAATACCATTTGCAAATGGATAGAGATGTTGAATCTTCATGTTCCGAAAAAAAAAATGGCTTTTTGAAGAAAAATTTATATCTGAGAGTATAAGACCCCCTTAAAGACGGATGTATAACCAGTTTGTAAGGGTAACTCAATATGTCCCAACAAGCTTAAGAGCCCATTAACCGATTAATGGGCGCGCACTGCTAAGGAGGTGAAATTTCACTTCGATTACTTACGTCAGGCTGAGCGCGGAAAATAAAAACAACTCAATAACTTCCAAATTCGCTCACATTTTAGATGTGTGTCGTTGTGTTTCACAAAATGCAAAGAAAAAAAAGTACAAGCAAAGACACAACAAGAGAAAGACAGAAAAACAATAACAACAGGAAGAGAAAAACTAACTCCGTGTGGCTTTGTTTGATCTTACCGAAGTGCGCTGGTAGTGTAAATTACTCACGTGCTGAAAAAGTAACTTCCAATATATATCGGGCGCACTTTTGGTTTCTTTAATGTTAAAGAAAACGCGGTTTTTCATTAAATTCAGCCTTTTTCGACGGATTTCGATTAAAACCAGCGTTGGCAACATAGCTATGCATTCCTTTTTCGAAATCATGCTTTTTTTTCAGAAAATTACGAATTTTTTAATATTTTGAAATTCTCTCAAAATCTGACCTTTTAGAAATGAAACAAGATCTATGCATAGCGTAATAAGCATTTAAATTAAAATATTAAATCAATGAAAAAATCCTGATAAAGTAATTTGCCTGGGAGCCTTTGCGTTTTTTCAGTGTTACTTGATCATGGACGTGGCCTGATGACTTCGTCACTAGTGTTACTGATCATGAAAAAGTTAAAATACATTAAATAACTCTGAACTAACTAAAAATGATGAGGTTATATGAGAATATATTTTCCTTACCAACGGCTCGAAAAGATCAGTTAATGGGCCCTTAACACTGAAGTACATGACAAAGCGAAGAAAAATAGATGACAGGTTGAGCGTTGGCAAAACACAGCTTGTTTTTGAGTCAACAATACACGGCCTTGCTGAGGGCGATAAAATCGATAAATCGATCAATTCGATGTCACAAAAAAAAACCAGCGATGATTGTGAGTATCGATTTCTATCGATTGATCGATAAAACCGATAACGTTTGAATTAAGAATTATCGATCGTTATCGATTTATCGAACGGTTTTCCGATATCGATTTTTATCGATTGAACACGTCGGGTAAATGAGCAGCCCTTTCAAACTAATCATTGCAAACATATTATGTTAAACATGAAACAAGCGGAAAACAGATCGATAAATTACTACAGATTACTTGATATATAAAAATTCCGTCAGGTTTCACACGCTATGGCGAGTAAAGCTACAACTGAGAGGCTGATGTAAAATGTCTGAGCGTCTTAGAACGCATATGCCTGACATTTAAACAGCATCAGTTACCCTCGAACAATAAAACCTTAGTGATAGTCAGTTTTGGCAGCATGTGCTCACAATAAATAAGTGTATAAATCGTCGTATAAATCGCTGTCATTGTTTCCTTTGGCGATGATCAAAAAGCTCTGTGAACTTTGATCTCTGAGAAGCTGTGAAACGTTTCAGTTCTCAGTAAATTCGTGAAGGAAGGCAAGGAATGAAAACATTCATTACTGAACGAAGAGAGACCAGTTTGTGTTTTTCTTTTTTGTAACTTCTTTCACATCGTGGATAAACAAAAATTGTCAATTCATCGTTGAAGATCTTGACGCCAAAAATGAGCAGGTTTTAAAAGATCTGGGGAATTTTTTTAATGCTTTGTTAGAAGCGCAATTCAAATCTTGCAGCTTGGTTTATCTCAGTTATGATTTATGTTGTTATGAGAGTAAATCCGTGCATGGAACGCTACAAAAGTGCAACTGATATTATTGGCCCGTTGTCAATGTCAGCTATTTTGATCTCCAGAGTTAAAATAAAACGAGGGACAGAACAGAAACAACACGAAACGTCGGATTATGGAATTCGTTGGTCTCGTAAAAAGACACTTTCAGCAGCAGCGTTAGCTATCTTCCTCAGAGAGGTGTTCTCATTAACAGAGAGCACAGGCACAGTGAAACAAGTGAAATTCAGCTTAGACCAGCGAGATAGCCGTAGAGGCGTCTGCCTTTAATACAGCGGTGTCCGATTAGAGAGGTGACATTTCTTTGTCATTAATTTCCTGTTTATTGACGCAAACAGTAATACCAAATGCCGCCCTGTCAATCATCACTTGAGCACAGATTGGTCTTTGGGACACGTGACGAACGCGGTGCAAATCAAAGAACTGGACAGGACGGAGCTCCACAAAATACGGACTGTCAGTTCAATGACATCCAATCAAAATGAAAGGCATGGATAAAAATCTAAGAATTGAAAATTGTAAAAACATCTGAAATGAAACCTCTCGCAATAAGATAGTTGTTGTAAGATAAACTAGATTATTGATGATTTAAGGACGTCCAACTAAGGGCCTGTTTACAAGGAGAGAGGGTTACCCTAGCAAGCGGGTTAACCCTAGCTGGAGGGCAAAAGATAGCCCGGGTTTACAAGCAAAATTTCACAGGCAGGATAACCCCACAACCCAGGACAACTTAATGCGCGGAGTCTGGAAACAAGTTGAGTGTTAACCCGGGTAGGCGGGTTAGCTCTACCTGGAGTGTTTCCAAGCGAAAAAGTTAAACCCGCATACCCGGGTAACCCTAGCTGCCTTGTAAACATAACGGAAAAAAAAAAGAAAAAATGTGTGAGTGCTTGCTAGGGTAACCTGCTTGCTAGGGTAACCCGCATACCCGGGTAACCCTCTCTCCTTGTAAACAGGCCCTAATTGTTAAGAGCGGGAAGTTTTGTACCAGAATGCAATGAAATAATCTTTCGGTTCTATAAATATAATGATTGTGGTGTGAGGCTACCCAACGCATAGCTTTCTAATAAAAGAACAAAAAGACACGTACAATAAAACATTCGTTATATCGTTAAAAATTAAAAGAAGCCAATGCCATGCAATAGAGTTAAAATGGAATAAAAATGTTTGCAATTTCTATTCTAACTTGTCTTAACTGGCTTCTACTAGACTGTGACGTTCGATAAACATTATGATTTTTTAAACAAACAAACAAACAAGCCATGAGCTCTTTACTCCACATTATGGGAAGTCCAGTCTCTATCGAGTCCAGTAGACATTTTATTTTACGACACCGATGCTGACCCGGATATTTTTAAACCATGTTTCTGATAGTTGCGACGCTACGTCATAACAAGATCATTTTTACTAAACACGCAACAGTTTCCGAGATCTTTACTTCAAACTTTAAACATGTCTTCGATTGCGAGAGCTGTTTTTAAAGTCACTATTGGCTGGCTGGTGGATAAAGGCAGAGATAAGGCAGCGGAGAAGCTGAGAGATGGCGATGTAACGGATCAAAAATTTCGTGCATTGATCGTCCGTGAAATCGACGATATCAAGTCCAAGTTGGATGGATTATCAAGGAAAGATTTGGGAGCAAGTATCAGCTTCTTTGAGGAAGGAATCGAGTTGTTGTATGATTTTTTTTTCAAAGCAAGGTCCAGAAGCGAGCACAGCGCGGCAACAACGCAAGCAGCTTGTGATGAAGCATTTTCTCTCGCCGTACGAATGGCAACGTTGGAGCTTACTGACCTGGAAAAATTAGCCGTGGAGGCGCTTTCCAAGGCAAAGAAGAGATTCAAAGATTCTCGCAGAAAAGCAACAGAGGCCTTTAAAAATGAAGCTCTAGGAACGTCCGACCGAATTCTAGCGATGCAATATCGAGTTATGGCGACAATACTGGAGACAGTAGACAATCCCGAGCATGCATTAGCACCATGTAGAGTGTGCCTTAAAGAACTGAACTCTTTGTCAGCAGTTCAGAAAAATTTTGATGCTCAGCTCAAGAAAGGCCTTAAGGCAGCAATGAGTTTGGTTGGTAAAGATGAACGCAGGAAGATCATTTCCAGTGTCTGTCACGTGAATCGTTTCATCTACGATGTCACGCAAACAGTCGGGAAAGACGTATCTTTCTGGATCTGGCCTGCTGTTGATATCGGAGAAGACAAAGTGGATCCATTGCGTGACGGACGAGTAGCTAAAGTTCTGTGTATACAGGGTATGAAACACTGTTTAGTTACACCATGGTCATTTGGTCAGGAAGGTGAAGAGGAGCACAAGCTAAAGAACCCGACTGGAATCGCTACAAATTCCAGGGGCCAATTCATTGTTGGAGAGTATGAAAACGACGTAAAGATGTTTGATCCTAGTGGTCAGTTCATACAACATTTCAGCGTCCCTAATGATGACTTTGAAACAGAGTTTTATATTCTTGATGTAGCCACAGACAACCAGGACAACATCTATGTACTGGTCAGATACGAGAAGGAGACTGGATCTAAGGGATTGGTTGTTTATGAATTTAGCAACACCGCTGGCCTGTATCACAAGTTTCCTGTGAGGGGAGAGGACTGGGACAGATCCTGGCACAGCAGACTGACAGTCACCAAAGGTCAAGTACTGGTACTGAGAAGGTCTAGTGTAGCTGTGTATGATTCTGATGGATTGTTTGTTCGTTCGTTCGGAGAAGGAACATTGAAGTATGCGAGTGATATCACTGCTGCTAATAATGGCCCTGTTATGGTAGTGGAGTCGTTTCCTCCTTGTGTTGACATATTCAGTGAAGACGGTGTCCATTTGAAGCAGTTTAAACTCCAAGGACGTTATTGGTCTCGAATTGCATTTCACCGGAGTGAACATGTCGTCATCGCTGGTATGGAAGGAGTGCCAGACGACCCTGGTCCCCTGCATGTGGAAATATTTACCAAAGATTGTGACTTTGTGCGCAGCACTCAAATCCATGAAGAACAAATTCGCTTCATTGGTGGAATGACAGTGACCATGAATGGACGAATTGCTGTGATTCTGGAAGATATCGATCGCAAATGCAAGGTACTTGTTATATAAAACATTAAAAGTAATGCGATGTTATGAGGCTGTAGCTGAACATTTTCTGGTGTATAAAGAAAGGAAATTAGCTACAGAATGCAGGGCCACTTTGGACCACCTCGTTTACATGTGTCAGAACCTTTTAACGAAAGAAGCATAATACAACAGGCACTTTTGTGATTCAATGAGATGTAAATAAGTGGCCCTCCATTTTGTAGTTTACCTAAATTGGAGCTAAAATATAACCATTAGCTAAGGAAAGTACTCTGAATAAATTTTAGCAGCAATGCAATTAATTTCCTTTAGAGACATCACCGCCGGTGTTTTTCTGTCATGCAATTGAAACTGAAGTAAATTTATAGATTTTTTTAATGCATCAGTCAATTACAGCGGTGCCTATCCCCCTCCTGGGCAGTAGCCAGGCATTCTGCTCCTGTCTTAATCCTAGGCATTCAAAATTTTATCTTAATCCTCTTCTCAGACACTTCAAGAATGCAATAAATGTTTTACCCAGTAAATGCTACAATGCATTCTTTTCGATTTTCTTTCGTCCATGAAATTCTGCGCAAGTAATTTTTCCGTCTGTATCAAAACGGATTTTGAAGGTCAGTTTATAGTTTCAGATATGAGTGAAATTTTGAGTTTCCCTGGCAAATTTTCGTATCAAAATGTTGATTATGTAAAATTGACTAACATCCAAATGTAAAAAGGGAAATGTTCAAGTGAGGCGAATTTAACGTAATTATAAAGATGATATATGGAGAAGCATCGCCACGAAAGATTCAGAATTTACTGCTTTTTTTTTGGCTCTTAATCGTGATTTTTTAAATAGTTCNAGTAAACTGCTGTGTTTTTCAGCATTCATAACGACGTTCAATCGTTCAGCGTTCAATCGATGGTTTGTTCATTTCTCAAATTTTGTCATAGTTTTGATTAATTGGTAACAGGACATGGTGTCGTCCAATTCAGTCTGTAATAATACTCGTGATTACCAACTCGGACTCCTGCTTCGCGGTCGTCGGATTTTGTTAATCACTTGTATGATTACAGACCGAATTGGACTCCACTCAGTCCTATTACCATCATAAAACAAAAGTAAAAATTTAAATCTTATTTATGGTGGTCAGCATGCACTAAGATATACAAGTACTAAAGCTTAATAGCTTGTTTAATTACAGGCATGCCCACTCAAACAATAAGGAAACAAATATTTCAAATCAACGCAACATGGTTAAAAAACCCAACTGATATGGGATAAATACACTGTACATGAACATGCTAGCTAATTATTTGAATGATCTCTACTCTCCAGTAATGTATGTAGACTTATATTTGACTTGTCTAATGTTTGACCCACTGTTGTCCCTACATCGTATCGTGAAGATAATTTTACTGAATGGTGGTTGACCAGTAGTTAGTGTGGAAACTTTCACACTGGCATGCCATACAAAATTAAAGTCAGAAATATTCCGGCCATAGTTCAAGCTCACATGTCCCAGGCTGAAGCTTCTTATTGTTTCATTGTTCGATATTCCAGGACTATCTGTTGCATCTTTTGCCCAATATTTTGAGTTAATGCATGAACCTAACTGATGAGCCAAATTGGTCACCTTCGACGAATAAATAAGAATCTCCTGACTGCAGTTCATGCGTGTTAAGTTAAATGAGTTGGAAAATGTTAATATCTTTCCATAAAGGAATTTTGTCCTTTTGGCCATTACATCAGCTGAAAGTTAGAAAACAGTAAACACTAATTATTATTAATAGTTTGTTCCTTTAAGGATCTGACAGTTTGAGTTAAAAAAAAAAAACAGCAAGCTGATTAGCTACAATTTATTAGACCTGGAAAAAATATAATCCAGCATTATAAAACAAACATTTTACTGATTTTTAACTTTTTCAACAAAGTAAAATATGTATGTTTTATTAGATTTAAACATATATACCTAATAAATTTTCCTTACCCTTTGAGAAAGTGGCTATACATGAAAGTGTATACAAGCATGCATGGTGATTATCAACTTTGAATTCATTGTGTTGATGTTAAAAGTTTTAAGTCTGATGTTTACACAAGGAAAAATTAACTGTTCAGTATAATATGTCAGGAGCCTCTTAACCTTTCCAAGGTCTCACAGTGCAAGACCCAATAACATTGCTCCCGGATGTAGAAAAAAAAAAATAATAAGGGAGAGCTATATACATTTCAGTTGAAACTGCATTACAATTGGTACATCTTTGTTTCAATCTCATCCAGTAGAATTAACAGTAATTCAGTTGCTAAGATTTATCATGTGGAGTGCATGGTGAAATGGCAATAACATAGATTATTTTGTAAACAAAACAGAGATAAGATTTTCATCAAAATTATCAATAAATTAATCAATTAACCAATTCAATAACCCAATCAAAGGATCAAAACTGAGCTGGATTAATACCACTATCTTTCCCAGATCCCACAAATTAACATGAGTGCAGTGAAGGTGTGCATTCTGACTGCAAGCTTAACCTTGCATTAAAGTAACCTGCCAGTACTATGATTATAATAACCTTTTGGTTTTTAAGGGAATAGACCTTTTCACAGTTTCTGACGCCATCTTACTTGGGGGCAAATGTGGCATAAACTGCAGTAAATGTATGGGAGAAGTTAAAAGTTTGATGCGCAATAAGTTAAGAGTGATTGATGTTACAAGTATTTTATAAGTTACAAGGAAAATATATGCATGGGAGTCTAACTAATGTGCAAGCCTGTGAGCCGGAGCTGCGACCCTATTTTTGCAAGCCACTATGTTTTTTTTTTCTGTTTTTTTCTGGGTTTTTTTTTTTTTGAGTTTTTAATTTAACATTGACGACTTTTACACAGTAAATGCTACACTTGGCAGAAGAAACAGAAATTTTCAATTTTCTTTTGTGCATGAAATTCCACTCAAGAAGTTTTTCCGTCTGTATCAAAACGGATTTTGAAGGTCAGTTTATAGCTTCAGATATGAGTGAAATTTTGAGTTTCCCCCGCAAATTTCGCTATCAAAAAATTATGTTGATTAAGTAAAATTGACTAAAATCCAAATATAAACAGGGAAAAGTTCAAGTGAGGCGAATTTTCGGTAATTATAAAGATGACATATCGCGAAGCACCGCCATGAAAGGTTCATAATTTATTTTTGTTTTGGCTCCCAGTGGGCCGTTGTTTTGACTCTCAGGAAACCAGGCTCTTAACCAGGCTCTTAAATGTTTGTTTTTTTAATAGGTCCCCTGTAAAATCAAAGGACTAGACGACTGTTTATTCCAAATTTTCAGTGACTTGTCAGACACTAGATTCTCTATTTTGCCCATACATTTACTGTAATTTTTGCCCTGCTTTAAATTTGCCCCCAAGTAAGCTAGATGGCGTCAGATTGCAGTGAAAAGGTCTACTTGTTTGCAACACATACACAGATTAACAGGATGAAGTGACACTGGATAACTAGATAACTGGAAGCCACACCAGTATCACATTATAAGTCCTTTTTGCTATCTTGCATTAAACTTGAAATGTTAAAATAATGTTCAAATTTTATGATTTACTTGTAGTCAAGCCATTAAGGTGTACACTAGATCACAGGTGGCCCGCTGAAGCTCACGATGCAAGGAGTTATCATTTTTTTAACTTTTTTTTTTTACTTTTATGCGGATGTTCAGCAAAACATGACATATATGGCTGACATATACTGTTACATAATGACAGAGTTTGAAGAGACAAAACTTGACCCGCACCTTGCAGCGTATATGGAAGTGTTGTGTTAAAACGGTTTGAATTTATAAAGGTTTGTATGGGAATGCAACAGTTTTGCTTTAAAAGTCAATTATTCTTATATTTTGTGAATAAAATCTACTTACCCTGTTGCTGTGTTGTATTCTTTGTGGTTTGCCAGCTCCTCAAGCCGATCTAACTTGATTTTGGTGAGTTATCCTTGTGTGTGTTTCTACTAGGTACTAAAAGAAATTAAAAGACAAGGCCAGACACTAATTTCTCAGTGGAGTACCTGCCACTCGAAGCGAATAAATCCACTGAAAATAACCCTGCCGACTCAAAACATCTCTTCTTTGAATTGAGTCAGCAGGGTTATCTTTAGTAGATTTATTCGCTTTGAGCAGCGGGCACTCCGGAAATCAGTGTCCGGCCTTGTTGTTCTTTTTAAGCAGTGGAATCCCACACAACAATAACTCACCAAAATCATGTTAGATCGGCCTGAGTAACCATGGGCAAGCAATGTGTAGTTCCAGTAAATATCCATACCTCCCCCACATACGGAAGGGATTTTTTCTAACACCTCCCCACACCTCTGGAAATTCCAGTTAAGCTTTATACATGTCTTTAAATTTTTTGGTCTCATAGAGTCCTTCACCCCCCAGGAAATTCTAATTCCTTCTGTGGGGCGAGTATGGATATTTTCTGGAACTGCACAATAAAGAATACTGTTAATAAAACATAACAACAGGGTAAGTATATAGATTTTGCCCACAAAATATAAGAATAATTGACTTTTAAAGCAAAACCATTGCATTCCCATACAAACCATTGACCATTATTCTGCAAAGCGAGAGTCACGTTCTGCGTATTCAAACTTGGTCACTATGTAATACTGTATACAGTATGTCGGTCGCATACATCACATTTCGCTGAATGTTCACATAAAAGTAAAAAAAAATAGATAAAAAATATGATAACTCCTCGCATCGTGAGCTTGGGCTGCCTGTGACTGGATGAAATAACCTGTCATTCGAATACAGTGNTAAGGTTCTGAAAACCGTTTAGACTTTTCGATAGCAGCATGCCGGTAATCGTTAAGGTCACCTATTGGTAAGTATGCATTTTTTAACCAGTCTTTCGTGGTGTTGGACTCAAGCTGTTTTATTGATGTTTTGCATTGCATTGCATGACGCGCGCAGCTGACTCTGTGAAATCTGATGACGCACTGATATTTAGCTTAGCTTTTGTACACTTTACAAGACACAGTTTGTCGTGAATTTGTAAGCACTAACGAAGTTTGTTTTCTGTTCCAGTGGTGGATGAGGGTACGGGCCCAAGGTGTGTATGAACAGCGTATTAAGATAAAATCCCTTTGAAATTCTACTGGGCTTAATAATTGCTTGTTCTGTCTTGCGGAAATGCTTGTGTTTGGACTTGGTGTGGAATGAAATACGGTCATGTTTGGTTACTTATCACAATTGATATAATTCAAGCAGCAGTTATTTCTGGAATATTGAGTCTTTAAACTCGATGGGTTTAGTCAGGACCTTGCACCCTGTCACGTGACCTTGTTAATCGTGTGAAAAATGGATGCCAGGAATGGAACAAAGCGTGACGAAATTAGTAATCATTGCCACTTGTGAGATTATTATTTAAATGTGAAGTTTTCTGATGGTTTGAAAATTTTAAGACATATATTTTATGTGGCCATTTAACTTTTTTTTTGATAAGTTTGACATACTTTCCTAATGTTTGAAACTCTTGGACTGTCGTAAAATATCACATTGCTACATTAATGGTCTCAAGAATTGGCAATATTACCAGTTTTCATCATGTTCTTTAGAGGTGTCTCACATCTAAGCAATGTAGCATATCTGGTTTAACTGTAGACAACTATACCCCATACAAAGTGTTAGTCAGGCATTATTTTGGAAGTACTGGGCTGTTGATGCTGCCATCTTAGATTGTAATTGGATGCTTGATTGGTAGAGGGTTGGTGCAGAGGGCAGGGGGGGATTTGAAATTTTTCCTTGTCCTCCCCACTCACCCATTTTTTTTCTCGCACCTACTGTTACTCCCTTGGCAAATATAAAAATGTGCACTTGCCTGCCCCAAATGCACCTGTACTGCATTCTAACAACCTCTAAACATGAGCCTCCAATTCACCATTTTGTACAAGTCAAAGGGAATTTGTCTGTTTGTCCTCAAAAATGTGTCTGCAATTTTTTTTAATCTGAAATATTTCTTCTTTCAGAGCAATTTTTGTATGGTCACTCACAATTTTTTAATCCTGTTTGGAAAATGTGCTGTAACTTTTTGCTACAATTGAATAATTCTTGGTATAGTTTGACAGCCAGTTCTGTAATCTTTAATTTGATATAGGGGTGTAGGAATCTCTTTTTTTAAACCAGACACACCACATCACTTCGATGCAAGACACCTCTAAAGCATACTTTAACCTAAATAGGAGATATTAAAGACAGTCAATTTAATTATTTATCATTACATTTTTTCTGGTTTTCAAAGCTGTGCTCATGTGTTTTACTTTTGTGTGTTTGTGGACTTGGACAATGTCACAGTCCATTAACTCGCCAAAAAGGATTTTGGCCAATATCTAAGCATCTTGACCTCACTCTTTATCAATAAGCCATATGCCTTATATTAAGTTGACAAAAATAACATTTTGCACAGACCTCAAGGAAATAGTTTTGTTACCTACTTTCTGTTATTATTGTCTACAGTTCCGGGAAATTGAAAAAAAGATCCTGGGAGAATTTGATGATGATGATGTGGATGTGGTTTGTAACTTATTCATTATATTAATCTCTTATTGTTTGTTTTGATGAAATAATTTTCATAACTAGAATCGCCGCTTTGAATAGTGCACAGAGTTGTTAAAGTTATCAACTTTTATGGTTGGGAGGTCAGGGAAATTGAAAGATGTGACTTAAGGTCACTGAAAAGTTTAAGAATTTCAGATTTAGCTTCCAACTGGAAGTACAACTGTAGAGGAGTCTAAACTTTTGTTTCATCTTTGGCTACAAAAGCTATTTATCTTTAACTTTTTTTACCTTGGCTAATTATTTGTTTCTAGTTTTGCCTCTTATAAGATTGAAGGAAATTATCTTCAAGTCATGAAGATGTCAAAATTCTTTTTGTTTTGAAAACACTTAACAATAGATACATAAACTTTATTTCACATGGATACCTGTGAATTATAAAAATGTGGTGTATGGGCTATATAACCACATGTTTGTGGCTTTCAGTGTTTTGCCAGCAAAATTTAAAATTATTAGTAAAATAAAATTGTTCTTTGTACTTTAGAAAGGAGAAAGCACACCAACTATCACAGGTTATTTGGAGGTAGAAGTGGGCGGAAAGCTTGTGCATTCAAAAAAGGTACTACATACAGTATTATTAAATTGTGAAGTATATTCTGCTTGCCTCTGATATAGTTGTGCTGCATTTTTCAACTTGCAGAAATCAAGCAATCAACTCAATCCTTTTCCATTGTTCAGCAAATTATTTCCATCCCCAGAACCTGCAATCAGTTTGATTAGCACTAGGCATGGCAATCTCTGGCTGGTTGCAATTTTCGCGGCATGTACTGAGTGCCCATTCTTGAGTTGTAGTCAAACTTTTGTTTTTGTTAAGAAATAACTCTTTGTTTGCACAGTCTAATTATTGAAACTGGCCAGAGGTTATGATGATCCTGTGTTCTGACCAAAGGATTTTCAGTTTCTGGAATGAGAATGTTGACCAGCTACTTGAAAGGAGATTTTACAAAAAGTCATAAGTTTTAGTTTTAATGCAAGTTAAGTAATTCTCCCTGTAAAGGTCCAACCAAAATAGATTGAATTCATTTTATTTAGTAAACAGATTTTTTTGAGTGCATTTACTTGGTACTCACAATTTGTCTACAAAATTGTGTCATGTGTAGAATATCTTCACACAAATCAGCCCTTTTACTCCCACAGTAGCCCAGGTTTTCATTTGCAGGTTTTCATTCTGCAGTTATATTTTTTTCCAGAATGGCGATGGATATGTTGACAGCAGAGCCAAGTGGGATAAGATCATGAGTGCCATCAAAGAGGCTGTTGCAAAGGCCTGAGTGTGTGCATCAGCGTGTTTGAGGGGAGTGTGTACAGTCGAGGTACAGTCGTAATTTAACTCTCTTGATAAGAGACCAAAAGTTTTTATCCCAGTAAGGTTGCAGAGTTAATGTTTTTTCCTGGACTTACTCCTTCCAAAAGAGAAGAGATAATGCACAGAGCCTTCCTTATGGTTAAATCTCGCACATTTCATCACTTTTCAATCATGATAACTGAAGGTGCTTGTGTGAGCCAAGATTTTCATGCATGTTACCTGGCTAATGTTTGGAGTAGAAAGGTTACGTCCATGTCCATGCTGGTTTTTTTTTTTTTTAGTGCTTTTGGTTTGTGTCATTTGAGATAACTCAAGCTCATAACTGAAAGACAAACAATATAAATGGAAAACCTCACAGAAAAGTTACAAAACTCTCGCTTATCTTGGGTTAGGCCACTTGGACTTTGTACGACCCGACCCTGATGAGCAAGTGTAGTTTTGATCAGTATCAGTTTTCTCAATAACTTTCTGATAGAGCTTATGAACTGCTCATAGATGTTTTAAATAGTTACGGGATGCAAAGAACTGCAAGAGATCAAGTGAATCGGAGGGATTGTGGGAGGAGGAGAGGTAGTGAGAAAATTTCCCTCCCTTGGCCTGCCTTAATTAACCTGTGCACCTTTGTTTTTGTGTGTGTTCTTTCATGTTGAAAAAGTTGTTGACCTGCAGGCTTACCTAATCTTATAAATAGAAATCAGTCCTTAATGATTTTTATTATATGGCTTTGGCTTGTGGCCGATATAACATTCCGTTTACCTCGCTTGCAGTTACCTAAAACAAGATGGGAAAAATGTGCGTCCTATAATATCTGCTTAACTAGTAGAAATAAAAAAAGAGAGGAAAACTCTCCATCGCCTCACTTTCCGTGCTACAGTGCACCAACACATGACGACTGTGGGTGTTTTCCATTATGCCAAAGATTCCTGAAATTTTGTTTGGAAGTCAAATGTAAAGGTCCCTTTCGGTTTCTTCCGACCGGAATTTTCGGGATCACCTCTGGAGGTGGTCTACTTTTTGGTCGGACCGGTCCGGCCGAGATTTGCTGTTCCATTTTTGACAAATCGGTTCACTGCCCTACTTCTCTTCACTTATGAAGGGAATTCGGAAAAGGAATAAAAAATGGTAAGAGTGCGATTCCTCTTAGTTGGCCCGGTTTGATCGAAAAATGTTGTTCCATTTTCCTCGTGTATTGGCATAATGGCAGCACCCCGCAGAAATAAATATCCTATTAGGGCATTATGCCCATTTGTGGATTTTTTGGCGGGAATCTTTCGGGGCTCGCAAAAAGAAACTCGCGGCTTGTAGATCGAGGCTCGGGCTCGCAGGCTCACAAAATAGCCTCCCCCAATAGAAACACGGAGAACATTTTTCTATTTCTTATAGTAAATTCCTTGACAAGAAAACAACTTGTCTATTTTGATCATCTATAAAGTAAATTTTCTTTGCTCGCACTATCATTACGTCAACAGCTTGTGCTAGTTCTGTTTCTATCGAGTTTTAGAAACACAATGCTAAACCAATCAGTGTGTGTACTTTCCTTGTACTATTTTCTAAATAATAAAACAAAAAATCAAAATGTTTTTACCCGATGTTGTGACCAAAAATAAACACACATGTGAACAGAACCTATGATTTAGCACATTTTGAGCAGTGTTATTTTCCAGATGAGCCTGGGTGCAGGGTATTTACCTTCTTTCTTGCTCTTCCCCTTATCCTAGGGCATTGCATCTACTTATTTAATTGCCCCTAACCTGGAGAATTTGCCAATTTTTTTCCAAAAATGTAAGTACCAATACTGAAATTGATTGATGCATACATGTAAGAAGAGTTATGTTATAACACAATTACACCAGTATGATTTATTTTAAATACTGTGCAATTTAATGTACACCTAACCCCGAAAATGGCTATTTGCTTAGATGAAACTACTTGTGTCAATCAAAGCATTTCTGGGAAAAAGGTATTGCATTTGGTTGAATCCTGGATTTGCTATGCCCTTTGGAAGTCGTGTTTGAATTGTTACATGACTGTGTGTAGGGAGTCTGGGGTGGGGGATGCTAATGACCTATATCCAGAAAACAAACACAATAGCACCTCAGTCAATCCTCTGACTATTTGCTTAGGACAATGGAAAACAACCTGAGCCTTCCAATATATTTAGGGACTAAACGTCCAAAGTTTGTTGCAAAAAATGTTTTTTCGTCACTGAAGTCAGGGTTATGTTTTGATTAGGAAGACTCTTAACTTTCATCAATCATTACAAGCTTCTTTTATAGCAATTTAAAAAGCTTTGAGAGCTATTTGCTTCAAGCGTCGACGGGGAAGACTTCCTTGTGGACTTAAGCTACGTATCAGGAGTGGAGAGCTGGATGTGAGGTGGGGGTACAGGTAAACTAAAAGTTGTAAAGAAAACTTAAGGGCTGTTTTGATCTTGTGGCGTTTTTCTTTGAGTGGCTCTCTGTTGTAAAATATGACCCTTTTGTAGAAGAGAGCTTTTATAGGTAGTATTTAGTTTATGAAATCAAGGGATATAAGGCTAATGTTATGATTATAGAGAGCTCAACCAAAAACCTAGCTTTGATCGATTGAAATTCGTTTTGTTTAGACCTGTACTTTTTAAGCAGCATGAAGCAACTTGGGGCTAGGTGCACTTTAAACTATTGCTAAACTGTAAGTACTTTCCTAGATTGTTTTTAATAATACCTTTTGTAGACACTCTTATGATTCTTACATTTACCATAAACAAATTAACAATCAGCCTGTCACTTGCCTTGTTTGCCTTCCTGATATCCTGTGATATTAATTATTCAGGTGTCCAGGGTCTCAGAATAGATGGGGTCGGTACAAAACGTGGACCCCTCAATCTGGAACACCTACTGAACCCCCTTGTGGACCCCATCTGGACCCCATCTGGACCCCTTTTGGACCCCCTTCAGGACCCCCTTCTGGACCCCCATCTGGACCCCCTATTTTTTCTTCCAGAAAATATGGGCTCTGATTTAGATAATTAAACTTAGAACATAACACGATAAAGTCTATTTAATCAGTGAGCAAGATGTGAAGAAATTAATAAATTCACGCAGCATTGTGTCTAGAATAATATAATGGCTGCGGCCGCACTATGAGAGTTGACCGGGTTATTCCTAATTAATCAATTACGATTAACTGGGTTACCGAAAAATCGTGAGTGGCCGCTATTTTTGGCAATTCATTGAACTTAAACCGGGTTAACTGTTACCATGGAAATTAATTGAAGAACAAGAAATGTTTTAACGAGTTATGTTAATTTTAAACTACCTTTATGCGTGGTGCAACGTAGGTTTGTGGTCTCTTATCAGTGCCGTGCATTGGCTTTTTCGTGAAACGTGGCAGTTATCACGGTCTGTGTGTGAGATGTTGTTCACTGTGGCACAAACAAGTGCATAATCTTGTACTGAACATGGCGAGTGGTAACAACAGTTTGAAACAGTTGTATTACTGGAGCGGATTTCTAGTTTTTTCCTAATGGTGTCGGGTATCCCATATCAACCTTCACACTTGAACCATGGTCTGAACAGGAAGCGCTCATTCACCTTAGAAGGAGAAATTTTAATCGACCTCCGAAAAGAACACAAGAGTACG